TACATGTGTGTTTTCTTTTTCTTTTTTTTTTCTTTTTTCCGGAATATTTGGTATCCTCTAGAAGCTGTTTTTGAGCCCAAGGAGCAGAGGTGTTTGTAGTACACAAGTACAGACTTCGACCATGTGGATGAACATTGCACATGTAACTGCTACCTTCTTCCCCCGAATACAACGTACGGTCATTATAGCTGTATCTAGACTGAAAGATGCCTCAAATACAGCTATAATGACCGTACGTTGTATTCGGGGGAAGAAGGTAGTAAACAGGTCACAAGCTGGAATTGTGATGGAGGGCCTTGTCACACTACTCAGGAGTCAGTACTCACCAAATGTGCAAAACAGAAAACGTTTTTCTGCTAGAATGCGTAGCATAACACCTGCCGTGGCTTTTGTCTGTTTCAGGTCTGGTGAGTGGTGTGGCGAGGCCTGGGATCAGATCTATACCGTAATGTTAGGGGTTGGGCCGCTTTTTTTATTGAATAAGATATATATACAAATATGAGTACACACGGAGAAAAACAAAACACAGGGGACGGAAAAAATAGAGGTACACAGAAAACAAGTGCACCCCGATAAAACAAAAAACAAGTACACAGAAAAGGACTTGTGGCACATCAAATACGTTGGGCTTCTCTCTCTCAAGGGCAAGTTCTCTTTGGATCCTTTTTTTGTGGGAACGCAGGGGAGGGGTTGTGTCCCGCAGCTCAGCTCACATAACATCATCCAAATTGTACCATCCATCCCAGTTAGCATCACCCACCTACCCTGCGTTGTACCACCCAGACCATGTAGTACATAGTACCACCCAGTCCACATAGTATGGAGCACCCCACATGGTACTCCACAGTCGGCGCGAGTGGTATCTGTTCGTCTCTTTTGGAGGTGGGTTCTCTTTCAGGGGTTCTTCTGTTTTTGGGCTGGGGGAGGTAGGTTCCACACAGTCCAGCCCACGTGGCATCGAAGACACACACACACACACACACACACACACAGAGAGAGAGAGAGAGAGAGAGAGAGAGAGAGAGAGAGAGAGAGAGAGAGAGAGAGAGAGAG